TTTGTAATTTACCCTTAAAAAATATGTAAAACATAATGGACCGGAACATAATTAAGGGATTATTTATCTTTATTTCTTCGTTAGTATGTATGAATGTTTCTTAAAAATATGTGAAACATCAGTGACCATAGGTATATTTTGGCCTAAAAATTGTAACAATCCAAAATTTTAATTATCTTTTAATTCCGTATAAGTATTATTCAATTATGAATGAAGAAAATAGATTTTTTTTTATAATTATATATGTGGTTTTATAATTAGAACAAAAATAATTTTGCAAAGAGTGTAATTAGTATATATATATATGGGGTCAAAATGTAATAAAATAACAAGGAAAGAAAGGTGGCGACGGTGTGTGGGCAAGGTATCATGTGTTAGTGTGATGTGGTCAACAAGTGACTCTCTGTTTTGTTCTACACCGTGGGTAATGTTATATGTTCCGTATGATATTGTATATATATGATTTCTAAATATAATTCTATTATCTGAAGTGGACATAAGCAATTTATCTGTTTTGCTTTAAATGTTTATCATCTTATCAATTTTAAACTAAGTAGTTGGTCATGGTGATTTTATGACCCTGATTCTCTCGATATAATACTCCTCACTCTGCAATATGCTTATAAGTTTACCAATTTTCAGAAAATAATGATTAAAAAGCAAGGTGCACGGCTTGTTTGGGGAACGGGATTATGGAATAGACACACAATGTATTTTTCTGTACAAGTTTAATTCTTTATTTTGTAAACGTTGGCCTAATGGCCTTTTTGTTATAAATAAATAGAAGCTCTCATGTATATTTTGGTACTTTTATGTAAATAATTATTTCTGCACTTGTTGTTAATCTACAATTGGCCTTGGATAGCCACAGTTATTGGTTGGCCACGATGCTTGACTTTGTAGGACAATCTTCACTGTATTTAAAAGATTTAATTCTATTGTGTACACAACAACAATAAGAATTTAAAGAAATAAAGAAAAAGGAGAGAATTTGTTTGATTACAAAAATCAAACTCGAAATAATAAATAAATAAATAAAACCACAGATTTTATTTTGTTACAAAAACAAAAAAAAAAACTGATTAAATAAACAAATAAAAACCAGAATAAAATTAAACAACTTACTTGATTTAATTTCTTCGAATTATTTTTCTGATCAAGTCCAGTGTTTGACACTGTGTCCTTAAGACAGATTCGTCCTCTCCACGGTGCTTTCAGAATTTGGACGTCTATCTCCCAGGATGAAATGATCTACCACAAACAATAGCAGCACTACTAATTGTTTGCCTTACGAACACACTAAGTGTTTATACTCTTTCTTTCGGAAATAAAATGCAGCAAGATGAAGAATAGAATTAGCAGAGGTGAAATACGAAATTTCTGAATGGAAAACATCAAATGAGGGTGGTCCTATTTATAGATGTGAAGGTGGCTCTTGGAGGCAGGTTTTAGCTCGGTTCAAATCTATTGACGGATCTAATCGAGCTTTCAGCTCGGTCAAGGCAGCAAGTAAAGATTTCAGGCTTTCAGCCCGGTTCAGTCTATTTACCGACCTAATTGTGTTCGGCTCGGTTGCGGCCTTAGCGAGAGGCCACAAACAGTTTTTGCTCGGCTATAGCTCTACCTACGGATCTAAATGAGCATTTAGCTCGGTTCAGTCCAGATCCGAATTGTTCATATCAAGTTCAGAGGTTTGGCTTTGAGGCTTGGTGAATCAAGGGGCACGAAGGCCCCCTCCACTCCACCAGTTCCTGTTTTTCTAAGGTGTGACATTATTGGGGCTAAAAAGGAAGAGCCTTAAAGGTCCCAAGCAAAAAACATGAAGCACAGTGGCACGGAAATGAAGAACAGGTATAAAAAAATTTTGAGAAATAGAAACAGAAAATGCAAGGGAGGGTAGTGTAACTTACCAGGGGGGCAGATGCGAGGGTGAACGCAACCTCGAGAGCTCGATTGCAGCCTTCGAAAGGAACTGAAATGGAGGATGTAGCACAGAGACAGTAATGGCAGTGATCTTGGAGGTTCGAAGGTTTGGGAGGCTCAGGGTTTGTTTGGAGGAAAGAATGGACAATGATGGGTTCGAATGACTCTTGGGCTGTACATAAAAAGGGGGAAAAAACCCAAACGGCGCAGCCATTTGAATTATGCGCGTGGAGGACGGTTGGGCTATACGGCCCAATGGATGGGAGCCACGTGGCACTGAAGACGCGTCTGTCAGTACGGCGGTACGACGCTTGACAAGACTGCCGAAGAAATGACCGACCTAATGGGATAGCACGGTGACAGATATGACCCTAATCATGCTCGGCTTGGAAACGATGCAACTCACTGTCCGTTGGCTCGGTCACAGGGATAATCCCAATCACGATAGCTCGGGTGGGATTAAGGGGCAATTGAGAGGGGAGATTTGCATCGTTAGTACGGCCGAGCTACGATATCACGGGTCGTGACAGACTTCACGGCGCCATGCCGTTCTCCCCACTGATGCGGTCTACTGGTCCGTTTTGCACGGCGATGGGGATTGGCCGGGCAGGCATAGGCCTTGGCCACGGTCGGGAAGACCGACCGGGGAGACGTAGGCTGTGGCATGACCGAGTAGTGACTCGCTTACATTTGACAGAGCGGCACTGCTGTGTGGCGACCGAGTTAAAGTAACCCGGGCTAGACTATGGACGCGGTTAGGGCCGGCACGCTTCTGACCGACCAGCCGAGATAAGTGGGCTTTGTGTGACCGAGAATAAAAGTAGGACGGGTGGAGGCCAGCATACCTCACAACCGGTTAGCCTAATGAACCGGTCAATATCAGCTCGGCCATGAGCATCGCCCTTTGGCCCCTTAGCAAGGGACAGGTCGGCGATGCATAGCTCGGTTGTGTGCATGTGATGGCAACTCTCCACAAGTGATAGGCCAGTCGTGGTATTCTGGTCAAGTGTGCCACCTGGGCCAATAGCGTGAGGGAGAGAGGAAATCTGCTCCAGGCATGCGCCAATACCGTTGGACAGTTCTGCGTGTACTGGTGGGAGGACTAAGCCTTTACACGCGTAAAGTGGTAAGAGGCGAGCACTGCCACCTGTCCTGGGAAGGACAATAGAGGTAGTGCGCGCATAATCTTGAGGCTGCATGGCCAGCCTTGAAATATGGAGGAGGACGAACGTTAGAGGTATGAAAAATGGACTCTATCACTAACACACTCTCTCTCTCTCTAATAGCCTTCTTCTTCCTCCATTGGTCTGACTTGATCGTCGGAGGGTCTATCCGGCACACCACAGCCGGGCAGCTCACCATTTCTGTGTTGAAGAGATAGACGCCGTCACAAGAAGCTTAACGTCCAAGGAGTACGGAAAGCAGAGGATATTTCGCCCCCGTACACTACTAATAGTGACTTCTTATTAGCTAACAATTTCCTTGCATATGAATGTCCTTGCAGATGCTTTGCAGCTGGATGATTATGCAGTCCACAAACTACATTCAATGCCTATTCATCGTTTGTTTTCAATTTGTATACTCTCAAATCAAATTGACATTTGCACTTCTTCGTACCAATTTGTTTCAACTAGTCTTCGGAGCTATCTTTCAACTTATTACGCAATCTATACTTGCTACTCTGCTCACAAGCAAGATAAATTATTGGTCTCTTGTGACCACCACCATAATCCGATGTCCTAATAATAATAATAACAAAGCCATTGATCATTCCAATATCATGTATCCAAGTAAGCAATTCATCCTTATTGTCGAAAATCTGTATATAATGTCACACAACTTTCGTAAAAACAAAATAAACAAATTAACTAATAAAAATTATTAACTTACGACATTCATGTTAAAGATTACATATTTTGTTATAAAATGACTAGTACAATTTACCATAATATCAGATTGAACCTCAGTTTGTTTAGTGCATAGAACCTAACAAGAGGAAAAAAAAATTTAAGTCGGCAGTACAGAATCGAATACAACAATATAATTTGGCACTTGATAATCGAAACAAATTACTAAATTCAATTTTCAAATACCGAAAAATTTATTAAAAATCGGTATTTAAGTATCGAAAAAATCTATTATTTTTGGTCTTAGTGTGTCGAGATAAATTAAAATATTCAGCAGTTGATATCCGAAAATATTGAAATATTTTAGCATTGTTCCGAGTGAAAACTGTGAAAGAAAAAAAAAATTATGTACGAAAAAACTAACCTATTCATCATTGATTTTGCTGTCACCAGACATATTTTTGCTTGAGTTTTAACTTTCATTGTTTTGCAACTATTCCATAACAAAATCAAGAAAAAATTGTGGAACTAATAAGAAACAATATAAATAATAGAGTACAAACGTACAGATTAAACCAATATGAGAATTGTTATGAGAGTATTGCTTTGAAACAATAGAGGAGTATAGAGTGTGTAACAAATAAAGTGATAATAATGGAACAAAAAAAAAAGAAAAACTAGGGTTTAGTTTTTTTAGTCAAAATGTCAACTATGATATTTTTTTATTTTTAAAAGATGTGTACAAAGAATATTTTCATATAATATTTTAGGTGTTGATGAATGTCTATTATAGTTATTGTAATTTAGGATATAATTGTCATTAAAATAATATTTCATTATGTATCTGTACTGAGGTAATCAAGTGTGTGGAAATAGAATTTCCCAATAAATGACTAACAAAAGGACTTAATCTTCAAATTTAAATAGTTTGAGGGAATAATTGTTGCGTTTAAAATATTTAAGGAATAAAGTGAGCGGGTTGTTTGGGATATCTTAAATAAGTGTATTTTTTGTTTTTTAAGTTAAAAAGTTGAGGAAAAAAATATGAATGTTTGAGTTAACTTTTTAATTTTTTTTTTGAAAAAATATGTATTAAAAAATTATATAAATTAATATGTAGGAGAAAATTAAGATTAAAAATTATGCAACCGTAATTTTTAATTTTTGATAAATAATAATAATTTTAAAATTTTTTAAATAACCTTCTATTTTTTGGAAGGATGCCAATCTTGGGCTTAATATAATTTGTCCAAATCTTAAATAAAAATTCTACCTAGGGCTTTCCCTGTCAAAAGAACAACCTCAGCTTGTCGCCGGAATCGCCACCATAACTCACGGTGAGCTTTTCCTAAACAATCTTTCCCCGTAATTGATTCAATCCACGAGCATTTTCTTGTGCTACGAGTGTGTAATTTTTTGAGTTTTTGTAGAATATTTTTACGAATTTTTTGATCTTGAAATGTAGATTCAATTTGGGGAAATGCAATCGTTTTGTGGGAGAGTTCGATTGGTTAGAAGACACGCCACAAACAGCTTAAAGATTGTCGATTTCAATTCAGTGAAAGGTTGTCCATTGATCAAACCTAATTCTTTGGCTCGGATTGAAGTGGGTGATGTCAAATTTGTGGGTAGTTCAGTTGATTGTTCAAATGGGTTGTTCTACGGATCGCTGCGCAGGTTCACTTCTCCGTCACCATTGGCATTGGTATGATTTTTGACTCATTTTATACTCTTTTAAGTTTTGGGTTTTCAATAATAATTGCAGGTTAGTATTCAAATGGTGGTGTTCTTGTTCCTGCAACAGAAGGGTGTGGTTGTTTAACTTTGTTTGTAAACGTGTATGATTAGCAAGTTAATTATAGTTTTTGGCAAGCCACTATAATAGGGGTGTGAGAGAAGGAAGCTTTTTTTTTTTTTTTTTTTTTTTTTTTTGTAACTAGCGGTGGAGAACAAAATGGGTCTTGCACAGTTACATTTAAATTTTAGGCAGCTTGATGAATGACGAAAACCTTTAAATTTTGTATCGTCTTAAGCTCGAAATATATATATATATATCTTTTTTGTACATTACTTTAGTTTGAATGTGCTTGAGGCATGCTGGTCTTCACACTCAATTGGAAGGTTAAGTTTGGCATAACCTAAATAATATAAAAAGTCAAAAAGTCACTATCCTATTTAAGTCACATCATCTTATTTAAATCACATCACCTTTCTAACACATCACATCAAACCCAATCCAAACCCAACCCATATAAGCCAATAAGTCAAAAAGTACACTTTTTTAGAACATCCCAAACCAACCCTTAGTTACGTAGCTGTTTGATGAATAGCTGTGTGGCTCTTTGGTGCTATATCAAGATGTTTTAGTTGATCACTTAGATTACTGGATTTTCCAAAATTGCTTGTTATATTTAAAATGAGAGATAGAGAAACATTATTGTCCATATCCTTGTGATTTACCCTTTATTAGTGTCACAAGCTAAAAAGTAAAAATAAGTGGTGTTCAGCAGCAGTGATGATTTCTTTCTGTTGTTACGTTTTTGTGGTAAATAGATTTCTTCTTATTATATCATAATTTGGTAAGTGACTCAAGGCCATGATTTTTCCATTTCAGAAAAGTACGATCTTTTTCTCTAAATTACCTTTTGGGTTATGTTTACAAAGAATTAGTCCTTATGTGTGATGCTTCTTAATTTATTCTGGCAGACAAAACCCCGTATCAAAACAGACTTGCTCACGTCATCTAATAATGGTGATATACTTTCAGTATCACTGTTATACAGGAATCCTAAGCCAGGTCCTTTTCACCTATCTATGGCACTGCAAACTTTGTCTGGTAGGTGCATCACAACAGTGACTAATTCAGCTGATTCCATTGCACAAGATGCTTCTGCTTCTGTCTCTGAAGTTGCTCCACGCATCAAATTTAAGAGGCTTGATAAAACAGCCAAGCATATAATGCAGGCATGCATCTTTTTTACTCTTAGGCCTCGTTTGGGAACAGGTTAATTTAGTAACTTTTTGGCTATTTGGAAAACATGAGCTAAAAAAAATTAGTATGTTTGGGAGGACTTTTTGGCTTTTTACGAAAAGATATGCAAAAAGTAGAGAGAAAAGAGAATCTTTGACTTTTTGGTATGTGTTGTTGGCTTTTTGGCTAATTTAACTTTTTGGCTTTTTGGCTAAAAGGGAAGGTTCCCAAACGAGGCCTTATTGAAACAGATGGAATGTGTCATCTAATTTTCTTTAAGATTTTTAATTTTTAATTTTGACATTACGTTGCAGATTATTGATAAGGAAGCTGTGGAGGAAGCGAGGAAACAAAAAGAGCTACCTGATATAAAGCCTGGTTATATCATCCAGCTTAAAGTGGTAAGAAAATTGTTGTTGAGGGAAATGTTATTGTTGTTGTTGTGTGTTGGTCAGAACTAGAATTGCTGCGAGGAACATCTTTTGATTTGCTGTGTTAAATTCTTGGCATGATTAGGAAGTGCCCGACAATAAAAGGCGTGTTTCAATACTGAAAGGCATTGTTATAGCAAGGCGCAATGCTGGTTTAAATACTACATTTAGATTAAGGAGGCTTGTCGCTGGAGTTGGAGTTGAATCTCTCTTCCCACTGTAAGTAAACTGAAAATTTTTCTGAATTACTCAAAGGTATTTTGACATATTGAAGTTATGTTTAGTGATAAGAAAATGTGGAAATACCAAGTTTTAAATAAGTAATTATGAAAATTCTAACATATGACTAAAACACATCTTTCTAACCAGGTTACTTGAAAAATTAAGCATACATGTTAAAGAATGTTAGATGCATGGTTGTTAAAGGCACTTCTTTGCCCCAAAAAGGCCACAGCCTCATCAAAGCTCGAAGAAAGTGCCTCATTCTATATCCAATCATATCTTTATCTTTTATTGCTATATTTTTCAAGGATCACCAATTGATATGCATTATATCATATATATATTTTTTAATATTAGATTGACTTTATGCATGATTACTTGAAATAGATATCTTATCTCTAATTTAATGATTAATTTTTAGTATGTAGAATTATATATAGTTGAAGTTATGACTAGTATTTGCAATGGGTATTTGATTTATAGGGTTGTTATTTACCCCTACCTTATCTTTTTGGACCCCCCACTTTTTTGAATCCCTATGCACTTAATCAAGTCGCTCCCATTTTCTTTTTGAACCCCCAGCTTAATCCCACCACTTGCATCCCTCTTCTTTGAACCCCCAACTCATCACCTCCGGCCACTGCCGTTGCATTGACTTTGTGCATGATTACTTGAAATAGATATCTTATCTCTAATTTAATGATTAATTTTTAGTATGTAGAATTAAATATAGTTGAAGTTACGACTAGTATTTGCAATGGGTATTTGATTTATCCAGCATATTCCAATTGAAAAGATTTACATGTATTGATCTATTAACTATCTCAGCTCATATGTGTGGGGGGAAAAAAAATTCACCATATTTTGTTTATATGTAATATTGATATACTAGCTGATGACCGTGCCTAAAGGCACTCTCAACATGATTTAACTCAAACCAAATTAATGGTCCTTCCTAGCCCTAATACAAATTAAAGAATAAAAATATAAAAATTCTAATAATTCAACAATTGTATGTTGCAGTAATGCAAATTAAATAATCCAATTTAAGGGAGTAAATTCTTTGAGATTCCAATATGAATTTTACGGCCATAAAAGTTACAGCCTATACAAATGAGTAACATCAATGAAAATTCTCCTTAAAATTCAAAATAATGAAACATGAGGGAAAACGTACATCTTTAATCTTTTAACAATTTAAATATTCAAAATGATAAAATTGGGATGCAAAGCATTTAAGATACTACACAATAATAATCAAACAAAAAATTACTCATGCCTATGAAACTCATAAATTAAACATTGTTAGCAATAACTAATTATCAGGGAAACTTAATTATTGGCACACCAAAACAATTACTTGTAGTACATTCAAGCTCTCCAACGAACCAAGACAATTACTTGTAGTATATAGATTTCAGATACCAATATGATGAATCAGTAAGCAACCGTGTGCCACTACTTTTTGACCTATTAAGCCCCCCAAGCCTTAGCTCCCATCTATCGAAACCCCCCCCCAAAAAAAAAAAAAAAAAGATAATCGGAATAAAAGAAAAAAAAAAATTCTATTAGTCACACAGCAAGCATGGATTTTTTTTAAAAACGTAATGTGAAAAAGGAAAGTTCGTTTGGATATATGGATAATCTAAAAACTGAAGTAAATGAGCATGTACTATTTTTATTTCAGCAAATAAAAGAAACGATTTCACACAAATGGATGGACTCATATGCAATAAACTATAAAATTCATAAAGCTACCTCAGATTTTATTTAGAAGTGAAAATCTGAAAATAAGGCAAATGAGCATGTACCCTTTCTATCCCAACAAATACAAGAAAGTGATTCCGCACAAATGGATGAACCCATGTATGATAGAAAACTAACCAAGGTATTGTAACAATACTTCGGACATTATAAAACTACATAAATTTTTTGTTTTCATTTGTGTTTATTGTTTCATCATATTCAAATTTACCATTCCACCATCAAATCAACATGACAAATGAAAAGCATTCCATATAAATCCATCTGGTTTTTCCGTAAAAAGGAAGAAAAGACCCTATTTAAAATCACAATTCTTTGCTTTTCATAATTTTTTCAAATCCCAAGAACAGCAACAAAACACTACCTTGGTCCACAGACTCCCAACAATCACAGCCTGCAATACAACTCAGGCAACTCTTGAGGACCCACTCAAATCACATCACCGCCTACTTAGATAGTCTTCTCCACTCTCTTTTGTACCGTCTCCTTGTCCTCGTTGCTGTATCACCCATTGGAATGTATACAACCTTGGTTCTGCTGTATGCTTCTTTCAAGTTAGTAGGACTGTAAACAATCTACCTATTCACTGAAAAGTCATCAAAAGATGTATCTTACAAAAAAAATAATGAAGATAGACCAAAAGGGATTTGGTTGCTCTAATAAACCAAAGTAAAGAGATGGGGAATAAATAATGAGCTCACTTCAAGAAAGAATAGAAAATAAAAAAGAAGCTAGTATATGTTTAGCTATTAATGTTCCAGCTTGTTTTTAACTCAGTTGAATCTAATTTATTCAGTTTAACTCTGTTCAACTCAATTGTCATAGAAAAGGTAGAATTACTATAAAATACTTACTAACTGAAGCTAATTGTTGCTTATGCCCAGTCTTGAGTGGCCATCCTCTACCCTACTTCTAGGTTGGAGTTGTCATCACTGGAGGAGTGGGAATGGGAGACAGAAAGTGAGACACTTTGGTCTTGTGGACCCACACTAACTCCGTGAAGTGGAATTGTGAAATGAAATTGACCCAACTCTTGACTCGTTCCGAAATCCACCTTTTAAAATGAGCTTCACATAAGGTTCATGCAATTCAGTGATTGAATATTTTTTTAAAAATAGATCATTTTACATAATCCAATTGATCAATCTAATATAAGAAAGAACATCCATTACAGTATATCACAAAATATTTGCATAGTGACATCCAATTCAATTCCTTTTTGGCAATTATATCATAGAAAATATTGTATTTTTCTAACCACAAACACAACTTGATCTAATTAATGTTGACTATAAAGGTCTATTATCATCTCCACCATTTCATGCTTGCAATGGACTACCACTCATAAACATTAGATAGAAGTATAATTGACTTGCTAGGACTTTCCAGTGACAGTGGCCCAGTTAGATGGAGGGAAGGGCAACAAGTAGTTTTGAGATAGCTCTGTCGAGACTCATATTATCTTCAAAATCACAATCACACCTGAAAAAATATAACCAAAAAAAAAAAAAAAAAAAACAAAAAACAAAAGACAAAAATCAATCAAATCTTTGTTCTAAGGTAATGGGATTGCATAACTTGCAGTATCGTGATTCGTGAGGATGTGACTTGCTAGGACCTTCCAGTGACAGTGGCCCAGTTAGATGGAGGAAAGGGCAACAAGTAGTTTTGAGATAGCTCTGTCGAGACTCGTATTATCTTCAAAATCACAATCACACCTGAAAAAACATAACCAAAAAAAAAAAAAAAACAAAACAAAAAAGGTTTAAGTGGGTGTAGTGGGTTAGGTTTAGTGGAGTAGGTTTAAGTGGGTGAAGTAGGTGTGATAAATTTTAACACAAAAAAACAAAAATCAATCAAATCTTTGTTCTAAGGTAATGGGATTGCATAACTTGCAGTATTGTGATGTGACTTGCTAGGACCTTCCAGGGACAGTGGCCCAGTTAGATGGAGGGAAGGGCAACAAGTAGTTTTGAGATAGCTCTGTCGAGACTCTTATTATCTTCAAAATCACAATCACACCTGAAAAAATGTAACCGAAAAAAAAAAAAAAAACAAGACAAAACAAAATACAAAAATCAATCAAATCTTTGTTCCAAGGTAATGGGATTGCATAACTTGCAGTATCGTGAGGATGTGAAATAGGGTGAGTAAAAAAATTAAAAGCTTCACTTGAGATCTCATGAGCTAAAGATTGAGGTATGCTTATGCAGAAGATGTAATGACTTAAATTAAAAGGAGCTAGAGAAATAAATCAGCTATAGACCAAATCATTTACTCCACAAAAAAGAGAAGAAGAAAGATACAAATCTTATCAAGTTTTGATAACGTCATCGAGTCCTAGGCTTCGAAGCTGCATACCACTCCATGGGTTGGAAGTGGCCATGGCAGTGTGCGAGGGAGGGGAACTGTTGCGGGGTCTTCATTGCAAATTCATAGACATAATTAAAAGGAGATAAATATGGCATTTATAAAAAGAATCAGTCTCAAATAATATAGGGAAGGCCAAACACAAAAATACCCATACACATTCCGCTCAATCACAATTCACGAAAATTCAATAAAATAAGAATGCTCAAAACTAACACCAGTTTTCCAATCCAACCCTCTAGAACAATATGTCCTTATCGAAATAAAACCTATTGCATTCCATACAATACCACCAACATATACATAAGGTAGCTGATTAACCATTCAATGGCTATAGTAATAAATCTTTCATAAATCCCAGAAGTGATTGCTATTCAAGTCAAAAAATTAGACCCAATGATGTGGCACTCTATTAAGGCCAAGTTTGGGAAGACTAAATAAGTGCACTTTTTGACTTTTTTTGCATTATGTGTAGAAAAAGTAGAGAGGAGATGTTGATTGATGTGCCCCAAAAAAGATAAAAAGATGAAATAAGTGCACTTTTTTAGGTTAGCCAAACTTGGCCTAAAATATTTAAGTCATCTCTCTCTCTCTCTCTTTCACATTTATTTTTTAATTATCAACCAATCATCTTGTTGACAACATCTCTGGGTCTAGAAAATAGGTCTAGAAAGTAGACTTGTATATATTTTCCATCTCATAATTGGATTTTACAGATATTAAACCCAAATTTTAAATATACACCTTGACCAAGTGAACCAAGATGTTCTCAGTGAAACTTATTTGTCACCCCTTGGAATTCCCTAATAACCTTTTTCTCACAGTTGCAAGGTTAATTAAAATTTAACTGCAACTCATGAGTG